GACCAAAGTGCTTCACAAGGTAAAACAAATACGAACAGGTCATAATAAATCAGTATAAGTTAAAAACACAATTACAATAAAAGAAAGTAATATACAGTATATGGCTAAAGAAGTGCAAAGAAGAAAGGACGGGAGTGATGTGTTCATATTTACATGTTTTAGTTAAAAAGCGAGCGGCAGAGTTTTGTACAAGCTGTAAGCGAGCGATGGAAGACTGATTAATTCCGACGTATAATGCATTGCAATAATCGAGCCTAGAGCTCACAAAGGCCTGGATGGCCTTCTCCAGATCACTACGGCAGCAGTGTCTTCACCTTAGAAAGCAGACAGAGCTGAAAGAAGCTTGTTTTCACCACAGAATCAATCTGTTTATCAAGCTTCAAATTGCAGTCAAGTTTTATGCTTTGATTTTTCACCACCTGCATAGAAAAGACAAATTATGGCATGCAATAATAGGTCCTAATGGCAACAAGTAAAGTGAGAAGAGAATAGGCCCCAGAATGGATCCCTGTGGTACGCCAGAGGCCAGAGGGCTTGAAAAAGAGGACAGATCACCTATCATGACAGAAAAAGTTCTGCCTGTTAAATAGGACTTAAACCACTTAAACACAACTCCCTGAAGGCCAACCTGCTGAGCCAGATGAGTGATGAGGACCAGATGGTCCAGTGTCAAAAACTGCTGAAAGTTCCAGAAYCACCAGCAGAACAGGTTTTTTGGCCAAAAGAATATCATTCTGCACTTTAAGTAGTACAGACTCAGTGCTATGACGGGGTCTGAAACCAGACTGATTTTTTTTAGGAAAGATTGTAACTGAATAAAAACAACCCTTTCCAGAACTTTGGATAAAAATGAACCTGAACTTAGACAGCTATTAATAAACGTCAAACAACAAGGTCCAATAGAATCAAAAGACTGTTTGAATATTGCAGTGGGGATGATGTCCACAGTGAACAGATTGTAGATCTCATCTACTAAACTACCTTAACTAGGTGAGGTAGCGACACCAGCTCAAACTGATCAAAGACAGCAGAGGTARTAGGAGGAACACATAACTGGAAAACATTGTGTGTACTGATGATGTTCTGCTTGATAGAGTCAATTTTTTTAACAAAGTAATTAAGAAAATCATCACAGGTTGTGTAGCAGTTTTCAGAAGGATTTATGATAGACTGAATGGTACTAAATGAAATCCTCGGCTGATTACAACTGGTGGAAATTAAATTGGAAAGATATTGAAATTTGGTCTGCTGAACAGCATTTTGACATTTACAAAGGTAGTCTCACATTATGCCCTGGGACACATGAAGCCTGCTGTCCTTTTCTTGGAGATAGCCCTTCACTGTTCCCAACCCTGGTCCTTGGGAATATCCTTTCAGGTCTTTAGATTCTTCAGAAGCTGGGGTTGCTGGTTTTATCCCCCATTCCATCCATCTCAGTCGTTGTGTCTTTCGGCAAGACACTTCACCCACCTTGTCTACTGGTGGTGGTCAGAGGGCACCAGTATGCCCTAGGACAGCTGTGGCTATGTTGCTTACCATAAATGTGTGAATGTGTGTATGAATGGGTGAACGTCTGTAGTGTGAATATACAAGTTCAGGCCATTACCCATTTACGATAATGTTCTTCGARGACCAAGATTAGGAACAAGGACCCCCAAATTTACTAGAATTCTGATCAGATTTGTGAGCTATCAATTATGAGCAGGACCAAGACTAATGTGGAAATGTTACCACCGTAAAACATATTTAAGCTGAGTTGCCTCTAGGCAACATGGCCTTTTTAACCGAGACACACATTTATTTGGTCAATGCTAATTCAGAAGTGGGGAACTCAAAAATGGTACCAACCAACACAAATGTAAAATAGTAGCTACATGAGCCACAGCATTTAATTTTCCTATACACCTTTTCTGCCACGCACATATTTCCTCTACAGAAATATGCATTTTTCACAAATGTTCACCCAAATAACCACATTCAAAACTATGGACCATCTTTATGGGTACTTAATAACTATTTTTAGTCATTTTATGATATGAGATGTCTTTGACTGAGTGGGGGTGAGGATGAGGGTGGGATGGTGCGATTGTGTATGTT